CAATAATATCAAGATGAAAGACGCCCGTTATATTGGGAGAGATATGGGCGGGTGCGTTGCAACAAAGTGCATTTATTATTAAGGCTGCTCTCTCGCAAAAAGCTTGAAAAAAGCGTACAGATGAACCACACTTACAGAGAAATTACATATGAAAAAAATAGCTAGTAATCTACATGATCTGATACGTAATTTGGTTTAGCCATAATTTTTCTATCGGTGTCACATAATAAATAAAAAAATACCCAAATCACCTCCAAATCGTTGAGATGAAACCACTTTACTCCTTCATTGTTTATCAAAGGAATATAAAAATATATCTACTGCTTTGCAATACAAAATAAAATAATTTGGTTTGGTTACTTTTTAGAAATATGTATTATTTTTATGATAATAAATTAAAAATGCATCCCGATTAAATACTGCGTCTATATCACCCCCTCATTCGTCCACGAATTCAGTGCGGGGCGCATCGTGTTGCTAGGTGGACGTACGCCGCGTTGCGAGAGCTCAGCACTACGAAATAAAATCCTAAAATATTACTGCAAAAATTTAATTTTGTTAATAGTGGAGTAGGTTTTTTCTGATTCTTGTTTAATAGTAGTGTTTTATAGTTATATTAATTGTACAGTTTTATTAATGTTTAAGTTTAGTTTGTAAAACACGGGGAATAAGCAGAAACGATTGAAGAGAGGTCTAAAAAAATATTACAAACAAAATGGTATACATTTATCAAGGTAAGTTTTATCTACATATTTCATAATATTAGACAGGTGCTGTTTATAAAATACCTATATTACTGTGATTTCGCCACTCTGTGACGAGACAAAGCGCGGCAAACGCAAGTGGTAAACAATATTAACTTCTCATTTATACAATAAGAGAAAAAAAATTGTTTTCTTATCGGTCACCACGCTCAAAAAGTGTAACTTGATTTAATATCAAAGACTTAACTGCATAAATAAAATAAATAATTAATTATAATTGCATAAGTTGATAAAAAATGCTATGCAATAGCTTTACCGCGGCAGTCCCCGAGTGCCACACGTCTTTTTTTAATTAGATGGTTGATTTGTATAGTAAGAGTCAAAATCAATTAACACAATTGTCGAAACAACGTGTTACTTCAAAGGACAGGATATTCAAAAAAATTATTTTATGAAAATTTTCTTCCTCTGTCCAGCGAGTCAGATAGTTTATTTAATTATTCTTTTTTGTTTCTGTTTTATTCTGTTCCATCTCTATTCGGTAATTGAATTCCAATCTATGAATTAAACCAATCGCTTAAATTGAGATGCGGGTAGCGGTATAATGTTTAGTAGGTACTGGTTAAATAAACTAAAATGTTGTCTGTACTTGTTTTAATATTCATTTATTCACTATAGTCTATCATTAAAAGTCCACTGCTGGACAAATAGTAAGTATTTTATGTATGTAAACTGCCTTCACAATACGGAAGAAAACGCGAAGAAACGGAAAGTGTAAAATGTTTTTTTATTTTAAAAACATTTTGACCTTTATTTACAATATTAAGTAAAAAATTACTTACAAAAATAATTATTTCTAATCTACCATCATTGTCATTACAGCCCTTTACATGTCCACTGATGAACGTATGCCTGTATTGAATTTAAAAAAAAAATCTTTTGTACGTGGTAAACGCTTCACCTATTGTTGAACTGTTGTACTGTTGTAGCACAAATGATTGAACTGTTGTAGCACAAATGGGTCGGCTCGACCGGGAAAAGACCACGCATGCAAAATAAGGCTGCTGTTTTTCGTATGGAGCGTAGAATACCGGAGATCCTTTTTATTGGAAACGAGGCATTCCATTTTAGTCCTCAAGGTGACAACGTATCTGCATTTTGATTCTTAATCGAGGACAAATGTAGATATCTATGGACTACAGCATCCACTTACTATCAGGTAGACTGTGTGCTCGTTTGTCACCTTTGTTTTATGAAAAAAAAATAATTGTTCATTTTATTTTGAGATATGTAGGGCCTAAGTTTTAGTGTTATAAAATAAAAGAATATATTCTTGTGAGTCAAATTGCTTTATAATAGCGCCATCTACTTCATTTTATATCAAACAAAAATTTAATTACTCAGCCTGGTACGTAAAAATTGTATATGAATATTGGATTTTATTCAGTATGGTTAATTTTATTTATTTAATATTTTTATACTGTTTATTTTAACACTTAATGTGTCACTAACACGGAGTGACTCGCAGTGGCAGAATGTTAACCATCTTTAAAGCACCGCACTACGCGGTGACCGAGATAATAGGAAACACTGTATACTGTATTCTATCTCATTCTCTCACATGCTAAATTATACAGATATAGTATATGTTTGTCTCTTTTTAGTGTCGTTTTTCGTGTTATTGAGTTTCAAATCACAACGATTCTTAAGAAGTTTTCACTTGAAGAAGTACTTTTAACGGAAATCTGTAAATGATATATTATGTCACAATCAAAACTAAAACTTCCCAAGAATCGATTACTGATAAATGGCAAAGTAACAAATCACACGATCGCGAACATTTCGTTTGGAATCGATCGTGTTTACGTTACCGTTACGCAGCCGAATCACAATCAACCAATCAATCAGTCGAATCAAAATTACAATCGACTACGCGACTATCTCGCTCCCCAATTGCACAATCGAGATATTTTTGCTCGTTCTTACTCGTTAACAATAGATCAATGTAATAACCGTGCACCTGACTCAAATTAAAGGACCAGATCGGTTGACCGCTTGCTATCAGCCGATTCATTACGCAGATTTACAAAGGCATTTGTATTATGTTGTAGTATATTTTTATTTAAGAAGTCAAGGAAGAAGTTAAGTCAAGGATGGTTTATTTCGGACTCGCACCGACTGAAACTCCATGGTATTGCACCTTCGCTAAATATTGACTCGATAAAGACACATATCCAAGGCCGCACTAGTGCTGGTCGCCGCATGATGGCCGTCTTTGAGAGCGAGCGCATCAAAACACATAGCGTGCTTTCTTCCGCAGCCTCGAACTTCACCTTCACGCGGAGGAAATGGAGCTAGAAATTTTTTGCTTTTGGAAGCATCAGCCTTTGTGATCCCAGCGGCAGATATGTTATAAGGCTTAATTATCGGCCACGGAGGTAGGGAGGTCGGCGCCTCACGATATCAACACTCTTCACTTCACGAATCCTCACCCAATGAGCATCAGCGGTGAGGCCTCGTTAGAGCCGCGGAGGATAGGGTGAGTAGCGCATCGCCACACCAAGAGAAGGAGAGCACCCCTACTGCTACAGTCCACTATCACGCATCCGGAGTGGTCTAGGTAAGCCCACTCGGAGCGGTCTCTTGGGTCAGCCCAGTGGATTTTTTTTCACCGTAAGTGACCAAGCTATGTCTATTATACTGACCCACTTGCCACGCCACATTTCGGTCTCACCTATCGACTCACGACGCAAGTTCGAGATGTTGCATTCGTCACCATTTCGATGTCGACTGTGAGAGAAAAACATCGAGTGTCATTGGGATGTTTTTGCAATCGAAACAATCGACCTAATTCGCCCATCGCGAATCTACATTGCTTTAATATGCTCTGCACAAAACTAATAAGATGTGCTAGATGCTCCGTTCTCACAGAGTACCACAAACTTATGCCTTAAAAGACAAGCACCCAAGCCAAAAATTCATGAAGCTTAGAGAACAGGAGAACGATCGCCGTAGAAAATAGTGTCTCAGAAATATGGACACCATAAGTGAGGCGCTGCGATCGCTAAGTTCGGTCAATAAAAGTCATTTTCCGTCTATTTTTCCGATCAGATGCTAAACCACTTGCACATCCACGCACAATAAAATATTTATCCATTTTTAATGTTTCTTTTTGTCAAAAATAACAAAATTAAGGAGCATGAATATTTTCTCACCAATGCCGCGGAGAAAATTTGTACGTTATTCAACTAACTTCATCTACTTGTACTCATAAACAGCTAACTGCGCAGTCACTACTCACCGACGTCAGCGTCGCTATAAATTCTACAATTTTCAAGGACAGACGGGCTATGCTATCACTACGTACTACAACGTAGTGATCGTTCTTCTGTTTTCTAACCTTCATGCAAAAATATTATTAAAAAAGTACCACAAACTATAAATCATAATAAGGATTTTTTATTACCTAGCTTTACAGCTCTGGGTTCTAGCCCTTCTGAGTAACTAATAAGAAGTACTATTGCAGATGTATGCTCTAAGATTGCAGACGAAGACTACCGCAGCCGCACAGAATACCTTTGTTTACATAATATATTCTTTCTAAAAAAGATTGATTTTTAAATCTATTTAAATCGAAATCTTATGAATTGATTCACAAATAAATCGAGGTCTAAATGATTGATCTTTTTTTATTTACAGCTCAACTATAATTGTAAATAATTTCATGGTTCTTAATAAAACAGTAAAAATATAATTTCGACTTCTAGGATGAACTGTCTATTCACTGGATCGATTCGGTGTTGATTTAAAAAGCGATCTTTTTGTGACAAGAAATCGATTATTCGATTAATCGATGCCTACTTTATACCGAAATCTGACAGCTCTAGTAATTTCATTATAGTTGATTGTTTATAAATATTTAAAAAAATATAAGTTAAACAAGTAGGTACTTACTTACCAAGGAATCCTGGAATCAGTTTTAAATATCGCCATGGACATTAAAAATTTAAAACTCTAGCGTGTAATATAAAAATGGAAGCATAAACTCAATTAGTGTACTAGCTTTAAAAGTTATTTCACTTTATAACAAAATTTTTGTTTCTCTTTATTAGGATAATAGTTAGCTAAGTGTAACAAGAATTTGTTAATAGTTTAAATGATACAAATATGGAACCCATTACGGAGCTTATGCATAAAATTTCAATTAATAACTTTGATGTAGGCTCATCAACTTGGGTAGATGTTACACATATAAACAATCCACATAGCTTTTTCGTGCGTCCTACGACTTACAGAATGGATATGCCCACAATCCAGGCTCGTGGAAACAAACTTGAAATATCCAACCTCCAGTTACAAATGTTGATCATTTATAAATCCAAAATTCTTAAATGCTACTGCAGAGGCCAAATATTACATATAAATAAATCAGATGACAACGCAAAATGTGATATATTTGCTATTGATTATGGTTGTGTAGAGAAATCTATTTCAGTAAGACGAATTTATCATCCTCAACATAAGTTAAATATACCACCATTAGCATCACACTGTCAGTTAGCAGACTGCAAATCTAAAGAAGAGGTATGGAGCAGTGAAGTGGTGGATGCTATGAAATACTTTGTTGGAGAAGAGAGAGCAAAAATTGTAGTTAGAGGAAGAACACCAGATAAACTTATAGTAGAATTAATAAATAGTTGCCCTGATGATATAGCAACAATGCTAGCACTGACTGGATACACAACTCTAGGTTATAGTCAAAATATTATTAGCCGAATACCGACTCTAAGCAAAGAAAAACATTATTACACATACAAAGAATTAAAGGAGGGTGACACTTTACATGTTAGAATACAATCGGGTAAAGACCTACATAGTTTTTATGTCGCTCAAATAGATGATTACAAAAAGTATATTAAGGAAAGAGAAAATCTGACATGGTATTCAAAAGAGAAACACAGTCTTCAACCTGAAGACATGAAGGAAAACAAACCTATAAGTGTTTTTGTTTCACAGCTTGGAAGGTATGAGCGGGCAATAATTAAACAAATCACTGTACCAGAAGATAAAGCATTAGTTCAGCTTGTTGATTGGGGCTCTATTATAGAAGCCGATGTATCACGAATGAAACCTATGTCTCAGATTTACTTTGCCAATCCAGTTATTGCAATCTACTGCTCTGCACAACAAAACCAAGTTTGGGACAATGGCTTACAACGTTTTTTATATCCAGGCTATGAGTTTATTATAGCCATTAAGAAGCCTGGAAATCAATTTGATTCTCCGAATATTGTTAAAATATCTCCATTATCAAAGTTTATAAAGTAACTTAATGCTTTAAATTTTATAATGTAATTATTTATGATTTCTACAGATTACTTAAACTTAAACTTTCAACATATTTTCCTGGCATACATTTTTAAATGAATTTTATATATGGTTAGAAATGTTAAATGTTGCCTTGCTTTTTATAAATTGGTTGACAGAATTACACATTTTTTTGTCTCCTATTTATGTCACTGCTGGACTACTTACCCCACTTGATAGTTATCTGTGATGTAGCTAAAATGGTAAACAATAAGAAAAACTGAATTGTTGTCAAATCTTTGTAAATGATTCCAGTAGAATGGATGTCAGGTTTAGATTTTCATTCAGTAGCCCACAAAAATCTCCTGCTTAGCATGTGCTACTCCCGTTGGGACCTTGTTGAGGTTACCAATGTTTTAAAGACTCAAGTCATTGACAGAGACTTGTCAAATATTGGATTCTATAATCTAAAACTAGATATTTGGCAACCCTTCTTACAAGACATTACAATTTCTATCAATAGTTTATTTTAATTATTCAAATACAATTAATATTATATGTATTATTTAAAACAATATTTTCAGTTTATTAATGTTATACATGCTATTTAAAATATATTTGTGTCACACAAAATACTTAATTTCAATAACCTGAAAATTTGATGATAACCCAGTTCTAGAATGTTTAGGGAATTGGGATAATTTCCTATGATGTGGATTCATATTCACTGTTCAACTACCATGACTATAAGCAGTAAAAAAGCTGCGCATTTCAAGTTTCTAATGTAATAGCAACACAATTGTTTTACTGCTTGTGTTTTTTAACAAGTCATTCTGCATCACGATTCATAATCTAGGATAAATGTGGTAAAAATAAAAACATTCAATAAGTATTATAATGTATATTGAATAGAAATCATTTTATTCTAATCTATACCATCAGGTAAACTGTATTCTGGTTTGTCACTCTTATATAAAAAAAAACTATTATTACTAATAATTTTTTTAAGTTGATATTACTCGGAGTGATTAAAAGAATGTTTATTTAATAGTGATATTAAATAAGCATGGGTAATTTTTTGCTATATGTATTTTAATATATCTGTAAAAAGCAGCTTTTTTGCACAGGCAATCTTAAGTTGGAAGGTTTGGCAGTAATCACTATTCAACCCCCAATTCCTTAGAATTCTCATTGATATTTTAAGTCTTGCTACTTTATAAATATTTTTTTTACATTATTTTCAAGAGGCACAAGTTTAAGCTGACATTCCTATTATCAAATAGAAAAACCTCTGAATAAAATAGTGTGTTGGATTTTAAGTCTTCCACTCTACCACACAGATTTATTGATCCAGTTGAAATACTTCATTTTACACAAATTTTTGATTTCCAAGAGTAATTTCGCTTCCACCGTGAAGTGGCAGCGTTATCTAGTTAGGCCATAGTTATATACCCCCTTCCCTCCGGACCACTGTACTGTACAGACGTGTTTATTATAGTGAACCGTGTTGCTTAAAATATTAGTAATTATTAATTTAAATAACACTAAGATAAACATACGAATACTAGGCGCGCATAAAATATCCTAAGTTAACAGTGTAAGAAGAGCAACATAACAATTTATCTCCGTGAACACTACTACGTGAGTAATTAGCGAATAAGATTGCCCGCTGTGACATAGCCCCGCCCTTACTTATTAACGGAAATAAGATTTGCGCACACGCTCCATTGATGTAGCGCTCACCGCGCCACTATTGTGTCCGCCCAAACTGTGACTGCGTATGCGCTAAAGGCGGTACACGTTGGACCACACCGATCGCAAGTACCAGGGCATCAGAAGCACACTCAAAAAAAATATACGTAATATACGTAATCGCTGGGCCGACTTTGTACTATTATATAGTTATTATAATCATAAGAAACCCTAAAAAATCCTGCTTTATAAATATGCCACTTAAGCGGACTCCACCACGTATAGCATCCTCGACGGAACCCAGGGAATCACCATACCACGGTGGCTCCGAACCCAACATCTCTACCTATAAGGATGATTCTGATGTAGGAGATTTTTCCACTAACATGAGTACGCGTGCAACTAAACGGAAACATGACCAAGACTTCAAAGATGAGCTACAGGCATTTAAAGTAGACATCCTTAGTACCCTGAACTCTTGGAAGGATTCTCAAGAAAATAAGATGGAGACAATTCTTATGAGCATAAACGAGCTTCGCAACGAATACAAAGAATTGCACACAAGCGTGAAATTTATGAGCAGTAAATATGATGAGATAAGGGAAAAAATTGCTTCATTAGATAAAGAAAAACAAGAACAACAAAAATATATTCGAGAACTCGAAAACAAGATAGAATCTATGGAGAGAACTCAAAAATGTTCCACTATAGAGATTCGGAACATACCTAAACAACAAAGGACTGAAACCGCGGATGATCTATTTAACATTGTCCAAAATATAAGTAGTGTTTTAAATGTAGATATACAAAAGCAGGGAATTAGGGATATATTTAGGGTCAATACTAAGACAGATAACTACAAGCCTATAATTGTAGAGTTCATCAACAAAATATCAAAGGATAAATTTATCTCAGCAGTAAAATCATTTAATAAGGAAAACGCAAACAATAAATTAAATACTACCCACTTAAAAATTAATCAGACTCGTACACCAGTATATGTAACAGAAACCTTGACAGCAAATGCTAGAAAGCTGTTTTATATGAGTAGAGAATTTGCAAAGGAACATAAATATACATTCTGCTGGGTTTCGTTTGGACGCATATATTTAAGAAAAGAAGAGGGTATGAAACAAATTCGTATTGATTGCGAAGCAGATCTGAAAAAACTCAAGGAAAAATGACTATTAACTTTAATTTTTTGCATGCTCAAGTTAGTATTTACAGTAGAAAATAAGTTTAATTGTATAAAAGTTAATTATACTAAATTCTATGTTTTCAAAGGCCGGTTACTACATTTTAAAAAGCAAAATATTTTTCTTATGTACACAATACACAAAACAAAATACTACTACTACTACTACTGTTACCACACATCACACAATGTTATACATCTTTTTATATATAACTCACTAAAATATATAATTTATAAACATTTACATATTGCAAAGCAAGTGTTCATTTCAAAACGAATTGTTTTTTATATTGTTATAATAGTGTACCGTTTTTGCGACGCCTTGACGTTTGCTTATAATTATCAAATTGCATGTAAAAAAGGCAAACATCTGAAACTATGTGTTTATACAATTGAAATTCAATCTGTTTAATAATAATATTACATCTGACTTGGATAAAAATAAATCCAACTGTACTCTGATTGACGATGTGTCGCAATGCTCACAACTTTTGCAATGTCGTGATGGTTCCAAAACTTTTTGCATCCTTACTGCAAATATACGGAGTATAAACCGCAACTTCAATCTGATATTGGCTTTTTTATCGGCACTTGATAAAACAATGGATATGATAGTTTTAACCGAATGCTGGTCAAGAAAGGATATCCCTCCCCCAAATATAACCGATTACAATGTACATTACTCTAAAAAGCTTTTAAATCAGAATGATGGCATAGTGGTATATGTTCGTAAGGTCTTTACAGTTATCGCCTCTGAACCGAACTTAATTGAGGGAAACTGCCTTGTACTTGATTTAGATAGGTTTTCGGTTATTTGTTCATATCGACCACCCTGTTATGCAAACCCTCGACGATATCTACAATCTTTAGATAGCTTATTACAAAAATTCTCTAACAGGCAAATCATTCTTACAGGCGATATAAACATTAATACGATGCCTTTCGACATTCATAATAATCAATTAAATGAATATCTGTGCATATTAGCTACTCATGGTTTAGAACAAGGTGTTACACATCCAACGAGGCTCAACAACTGTCTCGATCACTTTATGATAAAGACGACTGAAAAATGGCAAACCATGGTTTTTCCACCATTAACTGATCACAGTCCTATTCTATTACAAATAAAAAACGCCCGACTGCCAAAGATAAAAAGCACACACACAAAACAGGTACTAGATTACGCCCGGGCGTTAAATAATCTAAGTGCCATGGACTGGTCACATTATTTTAAGTTGCGTGATGTAAACCAAACTGCGGAACATCTTGTCAATATTGTTACGAATATAATTAAGGAGTGCACTAGCACTAAGTACATACCCAAAAAGAAAGCACCTCTTAAGCCTTGGATCACGATAGGCGTTGTAAGATCAATTCGTAAAAGAGATAAGTTGCATAAAAGGGCCAAACTACGACCGAATGAAGACACAATTAACACATATAAAAAATATAGGAACACTTGCAATAAAATATTAAAATTTTTGAAGCAGCAGTATTATCAAAAGGAACTACTAAAAAGTGAAAAAAAATATCAAAAAAACCTGGAATATAATAAAGGACATATGTAATATGAAAATGAAAAACGATGTGCCTCCAGAGTTGCTTAAGATTGGGAGCACTACAAAGGAATCGTTAAACAAGATCAACACATACTTCACAACCATTGGTAAAAGTCTGGCGGACGTCATCCTACAGAAACTAAATAAAACGGAGCTCGAATTAGCAAGGCAAGCGTTTGTACAATCAAACTCTCAGCTTCAATCTATGTCTTTCGTACCCACAGACCCATATGAAATTAATAAAATAATAAATAATCTAAAATCTGACAGTGCACCAGGTCATGACGGCATTTCCACTAGGTTTGTCAAATTGGCAAAAAAAGTACCTTGTATATCCAATTGCACATCTTTGTAATCTTAGCTTAGAACAGGGAATATTTCCCGATTTATTTAAAACGGCTATCGTGTCTCCAATTTTTAAAACGGGGGACAAACAAGATGTCTCGAACTATAGACCGATTTCTATGCTGTCTACCATGTCAAAAATTGTGGAAGGGTTGATCAACCGTAGGTTGATTATTTATTTAGAGAAAAACAAACTATTAACTGATTATCAGTATGGGTTTCGCAAA